AATTTGACAAAATCCGATTCTTTTAGCACTACGTTCAGAGGATCAGAGATGGTCAATCACAGTCTCATGGCACTGTGTATGTGGGAGGAGGTGAATGCCCAAAAGGTTGCGTCCTAGGTGGGACTTTAGAAGTCTAGAAATCAATTGCTTCCATCCTCCGCTTTCTTCACCGTGGGTGCAGCTGCTGTCTCGGTGACTGTCATCTGGTAGGAGCTACAGTAAGTGCTTAGCCCTCGCCACCTTCGCCACACGCTTTATATTCTAATTTCTGCAAATGAGCTCGATGTCAATTATTTAAAGTCTGTTCTTTATTGATGTGTTATAATTGACCAATTTAAAGTGTCTGTGGCCTAGTAGTTGAGCCTAAAGCAATAAAATGGACGTAGAAACTTCTTTTTGTTGAGTAAATGCACGTATTTTTTAAAACGAGTTGATTGTCTAGTTTGATAGTCCATGTATCGATGAGAATGCAAAAGTAAAGCATATGGGCTGTGGTGAATGTGGGGTCATGTTCTGCTGCTGCATAATCCCTTCTGTGGTGTGCTATAAGAATAGGTCGTTCAGATGTGTTGTGAGATGGTGGGGTTTTGCTTTTGTTGAACAAAAGTGAGCCGATAAAACACCTAGGATAGTGGTATCCCCTCAAACGTTGGTGGCTTATCTTTTCCTTTTTAACACTTATCGTAACGACTTCTATACAATTACCTTTTCATTTTTTCCTCGTCTCTCCGTTGAATTGTAGTAGAGTTGCTATTATCAACTAGCGTTTCTTAGTACTTCATGCTTTATTCCGCACATCAGCCTGAAAATTGATTGTCCTGGCAGACTAGCCGAAGTCCATTCATTAAAATGGAGATGGATATAAGGTTTGTCAATGACACAGCAGAAAGTACTGCGTTGGTGCGTGCTAGGAGTACAGATACTACTCAGCGTTGAGACACAGGATAGAAAAAACTTGTCCCCTATGAGCTTACCGAAATAAGTAGTGGTGGTGATGGCTCTTACTGCACCTGACAATTTATGCGTTATTGATGATTGTTTAGCCACCACCACTGTTCCTTCAGTGACGAGGTGACTTATTTCGTCGGCGTGATATGAAGAGTGCAGACGCTGGAGACGGCAGAGTCGAGTAAGCTTCGGGGGTGGCGGGACATGTAGCACAAGTGGTTATGCTGTCCATTGATGCCGTGCAGAAGGGAAATGGATGAAATTTCAAGACTCGTAAA